TATGGTAACATTAGACGGCTACTCACAAACAATAACAGGATACTCCTATATATATATATATATATATATATATATATATATATATATATATATATATATATTGTATTTTCCATTCGAATATGTTTTTTCCATTCAAGGAAATGAACTGTAAATAATATTAGACGAACTGATTTTGTTTTCGAAAACGTTTTAGAGTTAAATGCGCAATAAGAAAATTATGATAATTTAAAAAATAGAATTGCTTGTAAATCATATTCTTTGGAAATGGTACTGAATTCTTTTAGCACAACACACACATACACACACGAAATGGTCGGTCGAATCTCAGCAAAATAATTTTGACGCAATCCTCAAGAAAAGAAGCGAAGTAAACAATAAAAACGAGGAAGGACACCATTTTTCTTCTTTAAAAAGATCAATAGCTTTAAATGTATTGCCTCCCCCACAGGCCACGGCCGTATTTGTCTTCTTGTGCCACACCCATCTTCCTTACCCGTGCCTCTCGTTTCATCGATTTATTCTAATTATTTCAAGGGAGACACATACTTTCTTTTTTTAAAAGGGACGCGAGAATATGCTTTTTAATTCGTTTAGACATTAAAAAAAGAAAACGATTTATATTTTTTCATTTACAACAGTTGCCGTCTATATGAAAACTTTCCGAAGGGATATAATGCTAACCCTTCCCAAAATAAAACGGATAAGAGTGCGAGCCTTGCATGCGTTTTTTTCTTTTATCTCTAATCCGCGCTGTTTATTCACGGACGTATTGATATATATATATATATATATATATATATATATATATATATATATATATATATATATATATTAGAAATATATTCTTAAGGTGTGCTATATTTATGGGATAAAGTTCTCAATTTTTATGAGATACAGCGTGTGTGTAAATAAAAGTGAACATTGAAGTCAATAGGCGATAGGCTGTTTCATGCTAGACGCAATTGTCAGGCCACGATTTCGTCTATCATGAAACAGACTGTCGCCTCTAAGTGTTGACTTCAATGTTCACTTATATATATATAAAGATATATAATAGAAGAATATATATATATAGAAGACACCCTAATGTACAAGATTAAAAATAAATCTAGCCACATTCCTCTAGTAACCACTTTCAACCCCACTCTGCCTCCACTATCCCAAATAATCAAACGTCGCTGGGAAATATTACATCTCAAACCAGACCTAAAAAAATTGTTTAAGGAACCCGGCCTTCTTGCATATCGTAGACCTAAGAACCTAAAAGAAATCATAGGTAGTAACCACATTTCAGGGGACAAGGTAATCCGTAATAAACTAAGAACAAAAACAACAGGATTTTCCCAACCATGTAACAACAAAAGAAGTTTATGTTGCAACCATATTAAACACACGGATTCATTCACTAGCTCAATCACTAAATCTACTTTCAAAATCTACCACGATTCTAACTGTGGAAGTCATAACATAATTTACCTCCTAGAATGCACACTATGCCAGAAACAATATGTAGGAAAATCTAAATGGCTCCTTTCACTGCAGAATTAATAATTATCGCAATCGAATTAAGTCGAGGGCCCCATGAAAAATTATTACCTGTAGAAAAAACACGATTTCAAAAAACCCATGCCAAAACTATAATTGAGAGAATAGAAAAGTTCAGAGCAGATAACATGAGAAAGATTTTAGAGTTCCATGAAAATAAGTGGATACAACGTCTAAAAACACAATATCCAGCCGGGCTAAACCATACATTTAACAATATAGATAGTATTAATATATAACCCTACAAATCAAAATCTAACCACATTTCTCACCCACACAAGACAGTCATGCTTACGAAGGTGTGGAGGCCTCACACTTATACACTCACCCACATGAATATTCACACTTACACACATCATACTCACTCACTCCCTAATGAGCCAAATGATAACACACACCCATAGCAATACACACACTTACATATATCATACTCACTCACTCCCTAAGAGCCAAATAACACACACACACACATACTTAACAGAGACACAACCCCTCTCCAGGACCAATAAAACTGTCAAACTGATCAAGGGAATTCAGAGAAGCATAGATCCATCCAGCTCTTATCTCAAATAACAACTTAAAAGAGACTGTTAAAAGATTCATGTTAAAAAGATAAAAAAATTAAAAAAAACAAATGAAAACTACAGACAAAAGTTCATTTTCCATCAAGACATTCATTTCTGTAGTTTACTGCTACCATAAGCAGAAATATTTCTTCTCCTGATGATGGCAATTTTGGCCGAAACTAGTCGAGGAATCTAATCGAAATAATAATAATAATAAAAAAAACGAAAGAATATTAATCTACAAACCTCGTGTGTCTGAAGATTTTAATTTTTAATAATTTTTTAATTTTTTAATATTTTTTTATTGTTCAATATATATATATATATATATATATATATATATATATATATAAGTGAACATATATATCAATGGAAAGTACATTAAATAAAAAGTACATTATATATATATATATATATATATATATATATATATCAGTGAGGATATATATCAATGGAAAGTACATTACATAAAAATTGTATGCATAACT